CTGTAATACAGTTTTGAGCTACATTTTTAAAATCTATGTATAATATGCAATGGAAGGAGTTTTCATACATGTCTGACTTTTATGCAAAGTTTTGTTAGTGGAGTTGTTTTCAACCTCATTTTTTTTCAATGTAAAAACTTAGGTAAGACATCAGTACTTAAATTTAAATATGATCTGGGCTTATGTACACATGGAGTTAGTGTCTCTGTATGCTTAAATTTTACCTTTAATGAATAAGTTTTAGTCTAGAAAGCTCTCCTTTAAGTTTAAGGAGAAGCAGAATGTTAAGAGAGTGCCTCTTGTATATGCTAAAAAAAGTACTACTTATATATAGAATATTACTTTATGAGAGGAGAGTAAATGATTTGGAGTGAGGAATGGGAAATAAAATATTTCTGGGCTTATGTAGAATAGTATAAGATGGAAGAGAGAGCACTAACAGCTGAGATGGCTGGGTGTTTCCTTGTCTCCCTTGCTCAGAGCTGGGTGTAACCAAATTTTTCTCAAACCAATCTATGCTTTTTAAATGTGTATCTTAACACACTTTGTGTAGGTAAAAATAATTGTGTAGACTGTGAAAGTTCTAATTGTACAGAATGTAAAAGCTGTGTCTGTCTGAATGCCTTGGTCTTGATGTTTGTTCTACGTGTTATGTCCTTGTGCCAGTGTGACATTTCATCATCCCCCATGCTCAGGCTTGGGGAAAAGCCTCATTGTGCTCTGAAGTCCATGAGAGATCATGGATGGGAGGATCGTATTTATTCCAGTAGGATTGCCACAGTGGAAGACAGTCAGGGCTGAGAACCTATCTCCAAGTATTGTCCATCTCCTTAGCTCTGAGAAATAGTGTTGGTCCTCAGACTGAAAAACTTATCTGGTCTTATTGACCCTGTTATTTTTGAGAGATAACACTCTACTCTTTTCCCCACTTTCCTTGCTGGAAATGTTCACTCCCAGACTTTGTGGGGTTTCCACCTCCCAAATGGCAGAGAGTTAAAACCACTGAACGTAGTAGACGTTGAGTGAAACTGGAACAATGCTGAAAACCAGCATCCTTTCTGCCTGCTCGTAACAACATAGTACAACAATCCTGAGCAGAAAATAATTACATAGAGCAGATGTGTATAATGGGTCTTGTGTGCATTTGCAAATTATTGATCTGCCGGAGCATCATCTGTACGTTACGCTGCATTCACTGACCGGATCCGGAGCACAAACGCGTTCTGGACCTGCACAGACCTTTGTGGGGAGAGGACGTGCAGTGTGGTTGTTCTGAGTACCACGCTGTGCACTTTTGGAAGCTGGTGTTGTGTATACCTTTTCTGGAGAGTAGGGAAGTACAGATCTTGTGAATGATTGTGGTGTTTAGTGGCTTGTATTGTGTGTAGATTAGACGTGTATCTTTCTTGTTTATAAATTAAGTGATATACGTTAGAAGGAAGCATTTAACGCTGGATCTGTCAAGTCTCAGTGTGGTGATGGCTTAAGCTTTTTTGTGGACGAGTGAAGGTGAGTAGCTCAATGTTCTTTATTGTTCTTTCTGAACCAGTATAAAATATGTTGCATCTTCTGATTCTTGTAGAAAATAAACTATTTGATGGACTGTTACTTAACAGTTCATTATTACCATGATTTTGCTTATCGTAAGAGTTTTGGTCTAGCTTTCTAAGGAAACGGTGCATACAATTGACTGACAGTGCAGTTGTGGTTCCCCTTACTGTCTCTCCTTCTTCCTTCTTGAATAGTTTCTGAACTCGTAGGTCAATGTCAATCGAATTTGTTAGAGTTCAAAAAATTGCTGAGATATTTAAGTTCCTACAAATACAATTTATCAGTAGCTAGAGAGAAATTACTGCTTTCCTGAAGAGAATGGCACAGAGCTCAGTTTACCCATTCTGTTTTTCTGTCAACTTTCTGGTCGATTGGTTCCTACATAATTTTTGTTTTGTCCCACTGTGTTTTTTCTTGTTGGGAGTGTCGGCAGGAACAAGGAAGGCAGAGGAGTTAATGCTGTTCTGGAACTGGTGGAGATTAGGGTACAAGGAATGCAGATCTAGAAGAACCTGTTAACTATTTTAAAACCATGTTGCAAATTGAAATGTTAGTGCTTGTATTTCCATTACAATAATTTACAAATATATGATAAATGTATAATATAATGACTATGCCAGATGCTTTTCAGATAAACAGTGCCTTATCTTCAACCCAAAAACAGAATCATAGAACAGCCTGAGTCAGAATGGACCTTGAAAGACCGCCTGGTCAAACCTTTCGTGGGAGAGGGAGCCTAGATGAGATTATCCAGCACTCTGTCCAACTGCATATTGAAAACCTTCAGTGATGGGGACTCTACCACGTCCTTGGGGAGGTTGTTCCAGTGATTGATCGTTGCTGCTGCAAAAAAATTTCTTTCTTATATCGAGATGAAACCTCTCACGATACAACGTGTACCCATTGCCCCTTGTCTTCTCTGTGTGGCTCCTTGTGAAGAGAAGGCCTCTGTCCTCTTCGAAGCTGCCCTTTAAGTACCAGACTACAGTGATGAGGTCCCCTCTGAGGCTTCTTTTCTCCTGGGAGAAAAGACCTAATCTTTCCTCACAGGGCAGGTTCTCCAGCTCTTTGATACTTAAATAAAAAACTATGAAGTTGATATTGGAATGCTGTGAAATTCTTGATAGTTCGGGCCCATGGTGTCACCTCGGGCATGTAAAATGAAACCTCTGGTTATGGAAGTTGAGTGTTACACTGGCAATAAACAGCAAACTTAAATTACTCTCTTACTGGACTAAGTTGATCTTTCTCTCCCTCTGTTTGCTTCCTATTGTATGTCTGTCAGCAGTCTATATTATTTTGGTTTTCAGTCTCTCAAGTTTAAACATAGCTTTCTTTTCCTTTTCTCCATTTTACCCATCACTATTTAATCTTACTACTAACTCTTCCCCCCAGTGCCCTCCTTTTTTTTTCCCCCCTTTTTTTTTTTTTTTTTTGCTTTCTCTCCACAAGCTCTTTAGAGTGGTTTTATGCTTTCTTTGGCATCCAGCACGGGGCTAGTCTTGAGACTTCCCACTCCCTACCCTCTTTCTGATGTGTTCAAGGTAAAGGAGGAATAAACTACCAATGCCTCTGGAGTGCTGGTAAGCTGTGGAGGAGTATCTTCCCTTACGTGGCTAAACCTTTTCAGTCCTTTTACATACTCTTCTGTCCCGGTATCTACAATACTTAAGTTTTCTTAGCTTGCAAAAAAACCCCAAACCAAGCCAACAAAACTAATACCACCATCACTCCTCCTCAGGCCACCCTCTAGTTCTCCTTTGCAAGTCTCTTGTCCTGTTGCTGCCCCAACTGCTTTTCCTATCCTTCTGCTTACACTAGGAAATCGAAGTAGGAAGAGAATCTGTGCTTTGCTGATCTCTCTCCTCATAACTTTTTAACGCTTGAGTGTAAAAACTGCCTGTGCTGTAAGATTCAATAGTACGTGTGTGGAAGTTCAGAGAACTCTTTCACCCCATCCCCAGGGTTTGCTTGAAGTTTTAAAAACAAGAATCCTGATAGAGGTATTGCCTTCAACAGAGTACAATAAGAAAACATAAGCAAAGATAAAAGTGCTGATGTTCTAGCACTTAAGAAGCACTCTTGAAAGAGCCATTCTACTAATCTTATTCTGAAAACACTGTATCAGTATGTGTGTGATTTTAAACTTTTGACATGATGCTGGCTGTTCATGAAATTAGTATCGGCTGTGTTACCTGGCATTTGGAAGAAGGTTTCTGAGTCATGTACCATGCTTGGTTGCTCTGCCAAATTAGGAGAAAAAAATTCAGTATTTGTTTCATAGTTCTCTAAATTACGACTGATGGGAAGACTGGCTTACAAAAGTGCTGTGTTTTTTTCTGCAGTGACATCTGTGGAGAGTATATGTAGTCAATTCCCAAGTTGGAAGCCAGAAGAGTATGTGGGAAGTGTGAAAGGGGGATGGGGAGGAGAGCAAACAAGAAACTCAGACAAAAGGAAATTGTTGATGCAAGTTAATGCCTTTTCTTAGTGATATTGATAAATTTCTGCTGCTGTTCAAGCAGTCTAAATTATTCTCCTTCTGATTCTGTTTCCTTTTGCTTTTCTCCTGTTGCCTGGAAAACATAAGTGGAATCTAGTAGGACAAGAGGCTGCTTTTTCATTGTTTCGTGGCTCCGTTGCTAGCTATTGTCCTCTTGGCTCAGGCAGTTCATGTCAGTCTTTGTGTGGAGTAAGAAAAATGTTTTTCCTTTTTTCTTTAAAGATTAAGTTTCTAGACTGTGTAGATGGCTTTTATTTGAAAAGCAAGCAGTGCCGACTTAAGAGCATCTCCTATCAACTAACGTATTTTTGCTTGCAATGTCACCTTTAGCACTTTTTTCAAAGTTTGGATGTGTTTATTAAATTTGTGGGCTAGTTCAGAGTAAAGCAGTCTTGAAATCTAGTTTCATTTATTGGATGTACTTTGTTTAAAACAAAGGAACTCCAAGCAAGACAGCACGTTTCATGAATTTTTCTGTCAGGAATAAAAAACAGATCACTGACAATGTGTTGTGTTTTCAACAGTTGGAAATAGAGCCAATTTTGCTCTAAAGTAGGAGCAGAGCTCTAACACCCAGTAAAGTAATGCAGCCTTGAGCAGTGTCACTGAGATCTTGTCTGTTGTGGCTGACTTAACTATTCTTTACTACATCACTGATTATTTATAAATGGAGATTGTTTTTGAGGATATTCTTGAAACAGAACTGAAATGTAGCTGTTTGCTAGTATGAAAACACACTCATGGATGCTTAGGATACTGCAAAAACTGAGACATTTAGTTCTTTTGTAAGTATCTTGCAGATAGTATTTATATGATCCTACTTCTTCATTGCCTTTGTTTTTGCTGTACTAATTGATTGTATGGTTCTACAGAAAATATATTGAAAATGGAAGATATTGTAACTGTTTGATTATCTGTTGTGTTGTGTGGTGTTTTTTTCTTTTTCAGGCATCTATTAACAAGCTAAAAGTGACAGAACCATGGCTCAGTTTCCAACACCTTTTGGGGGTAAGTTGTTTATAGTGTATTTAGAACTCTTCTTATATGCAAAAGTTCTGCATAAATGTGTTGCTGTCTGAATATGTTCTACATGGATTGTGTTTATGGATAGTGTATCTTTCTGAGATGATAGTTTATCTGATTTGTGATGTTTTTGCAGACTCATTAGAGAACACAGGAAATTTTACAGATACATCTCAGAACAGTCAAGCAGAAAAGCTGTACTGTATCCCATTTTGTGCATCGATCCATTGATCCATACAGTCCTACAGTTTCTAACTGTAGGGCAGATCCAGGCCACTCAGCCACTGGCAATAGGGCATAGCCTTATTCTTCAGTTACTCAGTTTTATTTGCCTGTCTTAAGCTTCCCTTCATACTTTTTTTTTTTCAAAGGAAATTCTAAAATACTGTTTAAATACTATAAATTCTCACTTTATAAGCACTAGTTGCGGCTGAGAAGTGGATATGCTTTTTCTTTGAGGATTCCTTGACTTTTTCATTGCTGAAAAGTACAGCAGATTCCTTTGGATGCCATCACTTCAAATTTCTTTTCCTTATTGTCCCATAACCCATGTTTAGATTAGAACAAAAGTGCTGCATTTTTTTAGCTCTCCATTTATAACAGGGGAAGGTATAGCATCTTGAACTTCAGTCTTTTTGAAAGATCCAGGAAGGGCCCTGGTAGTGCAATAGAAACATTACATTTTGCTATTCACATGAAATACGTTTTTGAGCCCATTTTTGCAACCAATCTGAAGAAAGATTACAAAGATAAATTTCAGTGCTGAGAACTAGTAACCGGTTTGGTTCCACTTAAGTGTTGCATCTGTTAAGGACTTTTTTCTGGAGGCGCAGATATGATGCTTGTTGTGTGTATATGTATGTGTACACATATGTCCACATAAACATGCATACACACAAAAAAGTTGTGTGTGTGTATATGGAACCAAATTTGTAACTAGTGTCAGTGTTTCAGTGGGAGACTTCAGGATGAACACATGCGCTTCAGAGTATGTTGTCAGAGAAACCCAGTTCTCATTAAACACAATTCATTGGGTGCAATCTCTGCTAGTCTGAAAAAGTCCGTGAAGCACAACAGAAGCATCTTTTTGCATGTGGTAGCTAGAACAAAAATATAATTGGAAGCTGCCATTCATTGCCTCAGTTATCTTTAAGTCCAGCCCTTTGGAATTAAATCTTGTTTGGTGCCAGACTTTCTCAGTTTCGGAGTGAAACTGGCTGCTAAAAACTTTGATCAGATAAACTTGGTGGACAGTTTCACGTAGGATACTCTTTCAGGTCGTATAAAAAGTTGCGGATAACTTTATTTCACCCTAATTTTCGCAATCTAAGAGAAGCCGTGAATGAAATCTGCTTGTTCAGACTGAACTATTTCCTTTTGTTTGGAGTTAGTGCTGTGCTTTGCATACACCCATATTTTAGCATGTACATACATTCTGGATAGAAATCTTGTCTTCAAAGCATTCTCCTCTGCCGTCTTCAGAGAGTTCTTATTGCATTACAGATGGATAGCAGCTTGCTTTTTTCAACTTTATATATTGCCATTTGATCTTGCATATGTTGTCCAGGATCCTGGTAACTCTAGTACATGGCTTTAGGAAGGAAGGAATTCACTATTTCTTCTCAAGCATTTTTTCTCATCTGACTGCTCTACAATGAGGAAATGGAAATAAACATGTGGCTAATGTAGTTTCTGGAGTATCTTTAATTTGTAATGTGGGGTGAGGGAAGTTTGTTACGATATTCATACTTGAACCAAGTCTACGAAGTAGCATCATACCTCCTCTTAGAAGAATGACAGCAAAAGTCTCATATTGTTGTAAGAGGAAACAAATGGTATAAAAAAACCAACCAACCAAACAAAATTTTTGTGGGAATATTATTCATCCTTTCAAGAATGCAACATTTTCTGTTGACTTGTAGTCACCAAACAAGACGAAGAGGAGAAGATTTATGCAGTTTCCATTTTAGGAGAGCCCTCACTTTAGATGTGCAATATTTGGTATCCCTCTGCTCGTGTATACCAATAATGATGTTTTTGTTTTTATTTCACTTCCTTCCTTTCTTTTTAAAGAATCTTTTAAGTCAGCTTGGGAAATGGATATGGAAAGAGCACAGCACCCACTATTTAAATTGAGGTGTCTCACTGATATTACAGAACACTGCTGATTTTAAGGATGATTAATTAAAAAATAATAGGCCTGTTAGGATTTTTATAATTGTTGGGAAGAATGTGGTATGCTCGACCATCTGTTGATTTGTCCAGGAGAAGAAAATGCCTATTTCAAATATGAGAGCCCACTGCTTCAGTTCTGAAGATGAGGTGATTGCTAAGTCATGTAAAAGAAAAGAGATAGAGGGCTTGCTGCTGTGTTGAAGAATAGCTTGCTTATGTGAGTCAATTTTGTGGTTTGTTAACTGCCTCCTTTGTATCCAAATATATTGAAAATCCCCACAACCTCTGTATTGGCATCCAGGATCTGGAGCCATTAATGATGTCTTGGTATTGGGTATGGTCCTACTTCATGCCCTTCCATAGGTCTTATTGTTTCCTCAAATAGCAAAAGATGGAAATGAGGCAATGCCAGAGATGCCATTCATACTTTTCTGACTGAAGAAGCTACCAGGCTTGCTTGGTTTAACATTGGCACTTCTGATGTTCATATCCCACAAAGGAGATCTACTGTTTCACTACCAACCAAATCTCCATCTGGAAGAGTAAATATTGACAATCACTTGTTCTAGTTGCAGAGACTTCAGAGAAGAAATCAACAAATTTTGGTTTAAAGTAGTTAATGGAATACATTTTTAGTTATCTCATGCCATAAGAGCTTTTAGTTCTGGGTTTTATTGCCTTTGCAGAAAGTACGAAGAGTTTGGGGGTTTTTTGTTGTCGTATTTTTGGGATTTCTTGTCTTTTGGTTTGGTGGGGTTTTTTTGGTACTGGAGTCATGCATAGCTTAAATTGAGAGAGCAAGCCAGTGAATTGTTGCAAATGTCATGTTGGTTTGTTGTTTGCCTTTTTTTTTCTTTTCTCCTCACATGATATTCAAGAAATTCTCCCACTTTGTGTAAGCTACCACATCCTGCCTTAGGATCTTAGGCTGGAATAGTCACGTTTCCACTACAGGGAGATGTTCATCTGCTCCTAGTTGGCGTAGACTAGTTGGCCTAGTCTGCATATTGGTCATAAAGTCTTAATCAATGCCATTCCTTTCCTCCTGTCAGGAGTTCATGAGAAGATGGGGGAGATAACTGCTTATGTGAACTATTGTGTTTTGGGATGTTCATGTCCAAGGAAGAGTCCTATTTCATCCCTACAGGGAGCACAGCTATGAAATCTGTTTACAGTGCCTCTGTGAGCTTAATCACTAAAATTCTGGGATTTTTGAGCTAATCTTAAAATGCCCGTTCTTTGAATTAGATATTATTAGCCTGTCTGCTTCTAGAAATATATAGGTTACCTGAAACTGGGATGATAATTTTTTACCAAGAAGGTAGCTTTTATTTCGTTAATGAAATCTGCCATTTAAAGGAATGTTTTTCTTCCTCTTGTCCATTTACTTTTCTCTCCAAAGTACGTTTTGCCACATGAAAGTACACTTTAACTAGAAGAAATTGAGGAGGCAGGAAGTTCTCATGTTCTTCATAACTGCTGAGTCTGATTCTGTCTCAGTCTGCAAGCAGTTTGGAATACTTGCTGTAAATGTTCGTGGACCTTATTACCTGAAATTTAGTATCTGATAATTTAGTGCTGAGACAGAGCGCATGCTAGCTCTCCTTTATTTTTCTGCAATTCTACATTTTATCTTTTAATATTATTTTAATAAAACAGTGATTCCATTAACTTAGATACCTTCATACCATTACATTCCTTTTCAGTAGGAGTTACAGGAAGGTGCACCAGCGCAATTTACTTCTACAGGTGTTGAAATCATGACTTCTACTAGTCAGAAGTTGTTGAGACAAACCTGAAACAAAGTGTTAGAGTTCATTGGAGGTCTCAAGTGGAAGTTGAAATATGTTTGCTCTGAGTATACATAATCTGGAGGATGAAAGTGGAATGTCTGAAAGAGGAGAGGAACTGCTGCAAAAATGGAGGTAGAACTGAAGAAAGCATTGTGGAAGCATGGTACTGTAGAAGGGTAGTAAATCTCAACATAAATTAAATTTTCCCCTTCAGTTTCTGTGGTGTGAAGAATCTGATCCATGTAACATATTCTTACTCAGATTTCTCATTCTCAGAATGCTTTCCTGTGCGCTATTGTCGCCCATGAAAAATGTTTACTATCTGGTCGAATTACATTTCTCCTAGACAAGTAAGGAGAGTTCTTCTCTTACAATACTACAAAACCACATAGTACACAACTGATTATTTGAGGCACCTTTCTAATTAAAAGAACTTCCATTTTATCTGTATGTACTCTTTGAGGGAAATGACCTCCCACCCCCTAAATATCTAGTGTTACGAACTTTCTGCATTGTAGCCTCTGGTATGCTGATGATATCTTTTAATAACCCATTTGTAAGTTTGATTGCACTTTGAGTAGCCTGGTTGTAACTTAAATTTTTGTATAAGCCAGATAAGTGAGTAAGTGCTCAGCAGTCATCTTAATTTTATAACAGTTCTGGTAAGTTCCAAAGTCCTAACTGGCTATTTAAGGATTCATGGAGCTTTCAACTGTAGACTTTGGATGAACAGCTTCTGTGTGTATGTTGTTTTCAGAGGTCCAGTATGATATGATACAATTACACTCAGAAATAAAAACAATGTAATTTTTAGATAATGTTTCTTAATTTTATTTCTCCATTTCTTTTGAACTAGGCAACCTGGATATCTGGGCTATTACTGTGGAGGAGAGAGCTAAACATGATCAGCAGTTCCATAGTCTGAAACCAACATCTGGTTTTATTACTGGTAATGAAGTAGTTTTCACTTCTAATTTCATTTAATTAAATCTTAACTAATGAGCCTAAATATGTACAGAGTTGCCTGTGAGACATTTGGGCATAAGAATTAAAAAAATTAAAAAGATCTTACTCATTTTATATCCCATTTTTCATATACCTTGCCACATCAACCTCATCTTTTTCGATGTTTTCTGATATTTACCAGCTATATATCTGGTTTATGCCACTTGATTTTTCTGTAAGTAGGATTAAAATTACTTATAACTGTGGATCTATAAAGCAGCTCTATTGTGTCGGGACAGCTGATACTGGTAACTGTAGAGTTAAACTTCAGGATGTATAATCACCCTGGTGCCTGGTAATATTTATAGTGCTTTTAATGTGCTCAGTGAATTAATTCACTGTACTGAGTCTGGCTGAGATGGAGTTAACTTTCTTCATAGCAGCCTGTACGGTGCTGTGTTTTGGACGTTTTTGCTGTGGCTGAACAGTGCTTGCAAAACCTCAAGACTTTCACCATTACTCACTCTGCACCCTGCAGTGAGTAGGCTGTGAGTAGGCAGGAAGTTGGGAAGGGGACACAGCAAGGACAGCTGACCCAAACTGGCTAAAGGGTTATCCCATACCACCATGCTCAACAAAAACTGGGATGGGGGCTGTCATCTTCCAAAGTAGCCATTGCTCAGAGACTGAGCTGGAGGGAGATAGTGAGTGATTACCTTTGCATCACTTGGTTGTTTTTTTCCTACTCTTTCACTTATTAAACTGTCTTTATCACAGCCAACAAGTTTCCTGAGTTTTCTCACTTTTGCTCTTCTCTTCTCCATCCTGCTACAGGGAGGGGAGTGAGTGAGTGACTGGGTGCTTAAGTTTCTGCCTGGGGTCAATGCACCATGCTAACATACTAGTTGATTAAGAAGTCTGTTCAAATAAAAATGTGCCAATTTAACTGAAATCTGTTTCAGAAACTGATTGTTTAAACTAGTGAAATCATTGTGGATGACCTCTTTAAAAAATTTAAATGGCAAAATTGATTTAAGTTGTGGGAAGCAAAGCTGCAAGTAAAGGAATTGCACTGATTGGACTAAATTTTCATTGAACACCACTAATTTGTTTTGGTTTTAAAGGCAATACGATGCCTACTTTTTTGTTAGCTTGTTTTCTTTTCTTTAATTTTTTTTAGTGCTGTCTAAACTCTGATGCTGAATTGAAATGAGAGGTATAGAAGTGTTTTACCTTTCTTGCTGTCTGACCCACCAAGAGGATTTCCAGAGTGTGAAATCAGAATTGGATACTTAACCGAGTCTCATCACAGCCATACATGCCTCCAAGTATAGAATTTGATTGTTTCTGCTCCTGTTACAGGAGAGATATGATACAAAATACTACTGTTTTTATTGACCTCCTTTGATATTTAGTACTATTTCTAGTCTGTTTCAACTTTCCTTTACAGGCCACAACATTTCCAAGTGCCTCATCCTTTTGTAATTGTTTTGCTGGCCTTACTTTTAATTGGTAGTTGGAAAATTACTTTGAAATATACCATTGCTTTATTTAATGGTGGCTTATCAGGTTCTCATCAGGGTAAAGACCGCTTTACTTAGTTTGTGCTAGCTGACTGGCATTGTACTTCCAAAAAATGTAAGATGGAGTTTACATTGATACATACTTTCCTGGAAGAAAAAACTTTCTTGTTCTCATAAGGCAAATGATTCCTGCAAAGAGAGCAGTTAACACAGATTAAGGACTGTGAACCATGAGTTTCCCATTGCCCTAAATGTTTATACCCAGTTGACTTCATGTGGTGCTGACTTGCAGACTTACACAGTATGGGCTTACTGGAAATATCTGGTAGATTTGCAAGTGACGAAGTTTAAATCTCATACTCTGTTATGTATGCGTAGCATTAAGTATTTATGGTTTTACTGTTGATTCTGTGTTAGATATTTTTGACTCTTGGTTTCCTCTTGCAGGTATTTTTAGCATTCTCTGCAATGATGTCCTATTTATTTTACAGGTGATCAAGCGAGAAACTTTTTTTTTCAATCTGGGTTACCTCAACCGGTATTAGCACAGATATGGTGAGTGTATGGGAGGGGATGGGAGAATTGCAGTTATGTCACAGAGTCAAGTTTTTCTGGTACAGACTTGGGCAGTAACTATATTTCACAGTCTGGGTTTTAAAATGACCCAGTCATTTTAAATTTTTTGGTTCAGAGTGCTTTCCAAAAGTCTACAAGGCAAATATGCTTTGTAGTAGTTTTAGCTGAGTTTTTAAATTACTAGTTCAGTTATTGGAAGTAGACATCCTTCCACAAATAGCATTTTTGAAGTTGCTGATTTGCAACCCTCATTTCAAATCACTAGATACTTTCATCAACTTTATTAAAACTGTACTAATATAATCACTAAGCTCAGTAATTAGTATTAAAAATCTTCTAGTGGGAAAACCTATGCAAGACTTTCAAAACTTGTTAAAAAAATTGAGACTAGCATAGACTATTTCCATTGTAGTTGGAGATACTGCTTGAAAGCTTGAAATTTTTACTATTCCTTGGTGAATAGTCCTTAGATGAAAATGTCCATTGCTGTACATTACACATCACAAACATTTCTATAATCTGCCAGTTTCTTCATGCAAGATTGCAATTGTTTCTCCTCCAAATTATGACTCTGCCAGACTTGGACATGCAAACTTGTATAGATTATTCATAGTTTACATGAACTATTTTACTAACTAAAACTTTTTTTGGTGCTAGGCAGAGGGAAATAATACTATTTTTCATTCTAGAATGGAAAAAAGTGGCAGAGGGATGGATAACTTTCGACAAATCTGTTAACTTTTCCTCTGTTGTTAACTATTTGAAAGAGAGAGTAGTTTATTGCAGTTATAAAACCTTTTTATTGTGGTAAAGACTTCTAAAGGCAGAATCTTGCTCTGACTGCAGAAAGAAGAGAAAAAGAAAAATAATTGATTTGGAAATATGCATGCCTAAAAGAGGGACTAGATTTACATGGCTTTTAAATAGCTAGCTTATTTTCTTTTCAAATTATCTTCATCGTACAAATATCCAATCTGGTCTAGTTATCTTACTTGCTGTAGACTCATTGAAAGTTCAGATGTCCCTTTGGAACTTCTCTTGCCTCTTAATTAAATGAGGAAAGAAGTTTTGTCTTAAACAAGACGTCCTTTCTCCAAAAATATTCCGTAGGCATTAGCTTTAAATAGGTGTTAACAAAACTAAACAATTGTAAATAGTCTGACTAAAAATCTCTTCCTCTCTGAATTACTCAGTTTTTCAGCCTCTGGAGAGGAAGAGCATCATTCCACTAGTTCTGTAGTTGTCATAGAGACAAGACCTGAACTTGCACATTTTTTTAAGTAAAGCCGAACTAAAACTTATTCATGCCGCCTTTATAAATCATAAGAAAAGCATGTAGACATCCCTGTCTCGCTGTCTCTCTTCTTTTTTCAGTCATCTCTGAATTAGGAGTAGTAAATATTTAAATAAAAGTCTAGATCACTTATATACATTCCCAGTTCGAATTAGAATAACCAAGTAGGAAAATAGTCACAGAAGAGGTAGTAAGACCCCTTAAAAAGAAGAAGAAAAAAAAAAAGAATAAAATATAGAAAGGAAAAGTCCCTTCTTTTCCCACAAATGGAATGATTTAACTCTTTTGATCTATCAGTGAATGTTTGTTTGTAACCTACCACAGATTACTGCTGTCCCACAGAAACAATAGAGGTTCGAGTGTTTAGTGGCAAGAAGTCCTTTGCAGCCTGCAAAGGGCGTTACAATATGCTCAAGACTGCATTGAAAAATGTGACTCGTTGTTTGTCTTAGCTCCTAGGGGTAGCATCTCGAAGTGTCTCACTTGCTTTGTGGATTAATAGCAATACTTTAATGTCGTCTATCTAAATTTCTGTTAACATCGATACAGATCTGTGAGTACTTTAGTAGAGGGGGGAGTTCTGGACTAAGCAGCCCAGGATCTCTGAGAGAGAGCTGCATAAAGCTTCTTTTCTATCAGTATTCTTTATTTTTTGAATAGATGGAATTTTTTTTTTTTGTAGATAGGATTTAATTATTAGAGGGAGAGAAGGAGAGGTGCAACAGTCTTTAAGGAAGGAAAGTTGTTATTCTGAGTTAGAGCAACTTGTAAAACTCTTCAAATTAATTTTCTGATCCTAGAAATATGGAAGTATATGTGTGTTGTGTTTAGGAGGTGTTTTCCTATTCTTAATGAGTCTACTTATTTTGAATACAGTTGATCATATTAATGTGTCTGCAAGATAGGAGCCTAGCATTTGATTCATAAAGGATTATCTATAGCTGTATGTGGACAAGCTTATGCTAATAAAGTTTCATCTGTTTTGTTGTCTATGGAAGTTCTTGTATAGAAAAACACAACTGGGAAAGGAACTTCAGGGGAGATTGGCCTAATGATGATTGACCATACCACTTTTAGAGCTCTCTACAGAAAAAGCAAACCCACTATCTCTGAGTTTCCAAATGTATTGTCTCCTAAGTGAGAGAATTTTGTTTGCATAAGTGAGCAGTGTAAGGATTTTCACTGTCTTATATTTTAGTTTTAATGAAAATTGAGTTTCTGGTTTTGTGTCATGAAAAAATAATTTTCACTGGAACTTCTAGAAATGCTAGCCAGCTAGCTGAAGTACCAGTTAAATGTCTTCTGCTTGAAGAGCTGCTTTGAGAATATTCTGCAGTTGGTGTAATTGTTTTCTAAGATGAGACTCTAAGTAGTATCTTATTTTAATTTCTGCTATTAATCAAAGCTTCCTCAGAATTCGTGTTCCTTAAAAATAGTAGCTCCATGGGTTTTTTTCTTTGCATTGAGAACTCCAGTGTCCCTTCTTCTCATCCATTTAAGAAAAAAAGTCTCTGGGACCTCGGTGGAGCAAACTAGTGGAATTATTATGGTCTGTCATGACAGCTTCTTTACTACTCTACCCTTTACAAGCTTTGGAGTCTGCCAAGTTGGTGATCTATTAAGAAGCCTCTAAGTAGGCTTTGAATTGAGACTGCAATTGCTCAGAAGATAACTGTTTTTAAGTAGGCAATAATCTGGCTTTCTTCTAAAGCCCTTATGAATGGTGGCCTCAAAAAGCATCTTCAGTGTAGCCTGTCTCTCTGGGATTAAATGAGAACTAAAATAATCAATGCCATCTGTTTTTCATGCATTTAGAGTTACTTATTTTTTTCAGGACAGACTAAAGTCATTGGTTGACTTACCTATTTCTGGCATATGCTTTCCTCACAACCTTTTTAAATTTGTGTCCAAGTGAGGGAGTGTAAGTCTTTACGGATGGCGGTTCTGTAAGTCTTACTATACATGCATTGATTAAGTGCCTGATGCTAAAGACTTAGCTTCTCCTGTTATGGCTGAGTTCTATAATGCAGTAGGGGATTGTATAATCTAATATAGGAAGGTAAAGCTAAATAAATCCAGATTTTTTGAACTGCAAGGAGATTTCCTTGTTTTAGCACTCTGTGCCATTTTCGTGGAGATAGATGTTTTTGTAGTCTAATGATAAGCACATTTGATGGAAGAAACTGCATACTCTATTTCTGCGCCTCATAAATACAGACATAATCAAGTTATCTTTGCGTTCTTTGTGCAGAAGAGAGGAGAAAAAGGAGGATGAAAAGATATGCAGGGGAAGAATTTTGTCAGCACTTGAAACCTAGCATTGCGATGAAGCCCACTGCGGCCGTTCTCATTAGAAAACTGCTGTTATAAACACAGGCCTGTTCTATAAAATGTGATAAATATTTAGTCAATGTTTAATCTGTTTACTGCTCTGCTCTGGTTCCGGCCAGACCTTAAATGAAGCAAATTTAAGTACGCTACCTTCTTCCAAATTTCATTAGAAGCAGAACAGTGAAATTAGGTAGTGTTTATTGTCAGCCACTCACTGCATTTAAGGTGATGCTTATTCAAAAGTAGCACTGTAATCTAACAGCATGAGGTTCAGTAATTAGAAATGGAAATTTGTCCTATTTTTCCCGTAAAGATTTTATCAGATAAAAGCTTATTTTTGTTAGCATGCTGTAAAAATGTGTATAAATTCCATAGTGTGTACATAATTTTTCTCACTGAAATTTATGCTGTTAATCTAAAGAACAAAGCAATTGACATACAGTAAATGAGTTGCACAGGTCAGACATTAAATTAAAAGCTACTGATGATTATGTGAATAGGAGTTCAATTAAAGCGATGAAACTGGTGCACATCGAAGTTTCTTATTAATGGACAATTAATATTTTCTCCTGTAGAATGCAAAAGCCTACTATGTTCTAGCAGTACACTCTGTAAATAGTGCCTGGAGAATCAAGGTCACCTACAGTGTGATATTTACTCTTACTGCATTTTCATGGCCATGCTTACAACAAGTTGAGAGACTCTGCCTGTGCTTTAGTAATGGAAAGGCTTAAATTTCATAAATCAAAGTATTTGCAGGTGTAGAACCACTTCGGTTGAACAAATAAGACTATTATAAATGCAACTAGTTGAATTACTTTGCTTAAATGTGAAGGTGTAAGGATCTTTGTGACTATTTATTTGAGCCATTGGTGCCAGTTGGTCACTATGTAGCTGACGGACTTCTCCATATGCTGAGGAATGAGTCATAGAAATCATAGAATGGTTAGGGCTGGAAGGGACCTTCAAAGGTCATCTAGTCCAACCACCCTGCAAGGAACAGGGATATCAAAAATGTGCTAGAGTACGTTTATCCAGCTCAATTTCCCTAGCTTCGTTACTGTGCACATCCTCAGCTTCCAGCTCTATAAGTCTGGTTTTTGCTGCCCATTTCCACTGGGCATCTGACAGAGGAATGGCTAAGCAAGGGTTGAATTTAACTTTCATTAAAAACCCCACGTTTCCCTGTTGAATATTTTTGAATTTTGTTTAGTTGTCTTCAGGAAGGTATAGTGCCTGCTCGTAAGCATCAGTTAAATGAAGCGGATTATCTGCTCCTGGTTTCCATTGTTCTTAATACTCTGTAGTTTTCTAATGAAATTTTCTTACCCTTGGTATTCATTCACTATATGTTGGTTTACTTTCTAGTGCAAAACCCACAAAAGGGAACACTTCAGAAAATACATTTAGCCATTAATTTTCTGACATTCTAACACTCCAAGTATCTTTTGCCTCTTGAATGGTTTGGGTTTATAAGACTTGCAGCATGTATTTCTCCCAAGTGAGACTTTCAGAAATCTAACATCACTGTTGATAGGTGGTGACTAGTGGATGTTACATGAACTGTTTTGATTGTAAAAAGTAAAACATGTATGAATAAAATGAAAATGTACTGAGTAATACTATTCCTTGTAAGTCTGAGTGATTTTGGGTAGCAAAAATTCTACAGTGTGTTGTGGGACACTTCCATGCTATTGTGGAAAAACTGGCAGAGAAGATATTCCTAATTGCCATAATTAAACTATGAATTCCTTCAAAATGAATTTGAGCTTTTTATAGGAATTTTAAATTGATATAAACATTTCTTAAGTAAAGAAAATTTTAGAGAGATGCAAACGTGTCTTTTTGAGGTTTCTACCTGTTTCATTGTATAGGAAGAAAAGCACTACATACTGCATACACGCAGTCTGTTTGCAGGTTTGCATGTAGTGGCTTGTGGTATGTATGCTCCTCTGGACAGAAAGATATGATGGAAGCTAATAAACTCTTAGTATTTCTATGTCCAGAGAAAGCCATTGCACCTCAGAATTAACAGAACATGGATAACCTCTAGTAATGAAATGTGAGAAGCCTTCTTTGTGTTTTTAACTGTTTTCTAGAACTAACTCTCATTTTGAAATACAGGTTTTTCATTAACAGCTATTGCACTCTACCCTTGCTGTTGCTTATCACTTATAGGAGAGAGGCTCCTCTGCCTTCACTAGAGTTCTCCCACTTGTCTCTGCAAGTTGTGTAAAGACAAAAGCATGTGTCTTCCACTTTAACTTAGCCTGCCAATACATCAGGAGGTACCAGTGTGTTGCTTGCTCTTCTAGAAGAGTGATCAGAAGCTGAGACTCTACAGCAGTGGTGTTCTGCAAGAAAGAGGAGATGACCATTTCAAATTTGTACTTCTCTTGGTCCAGGTTTCCCATGCTGTCCTTCCCTATTCCTTCTGCTGGTTGGACTACTGTATATGAAGTCTGACTGCTACAGTAGGGTCTTTTTAATTGATTATTTCTCAAATGAACCACATACTGAGTGATCATGACTGAATCTTGAATCCAAATCACGTTATGCTGTATGGGTCCCAGAATTAGTGTTGACTAAGTTTAAGCTTCCGAAGACTTGCTGGTGGTGGGGTTAGAGGAGAGTTTAAAGTCACTTGAACAGGCAGATTTTTATGTGTAAATTAAACTTTCCGTGAAAAGTTTAATTAACAAAGCTTTAGGAAATGACAGTTAGAAGTTCTAACAGCCAAAACTTATTCTTTAGTGAAGTATATGTAGTAATTCAGCATCTTTCAAGAAGTGGTACAATGCATTGTTTTTGATTGTAAGCCTCAGAGTCTACAATTCCCTCACCAGACTTTCTCTTTCTTTAAATACTGCTGCCAGATTTTCAGTAGTGTCATTTAGCTTTGTGACATCAAAATTAGTGGATTAAGACAGCTACACTGCTGAAAATGCTGTCTTATAGGTATTGGGAAGGATTACATTGTCTCCATTTTTGAGGAAATGTGACTGTTGATCTAAACCAGGGGAATCTCTCAAGTTGTATGGTTGACCTGTGGCAACTCCTGCTGGGATCTGCCTCTTTGTTGAGTTTTCCTAGGGTTTGTTTGGTTGAAGTGGGAGAGTTTTCATTTTGTGAATGCTTTGCCACTGTATTTACCTGGCTGTTTACTTATTTAAGTATCGATTATAAATAACTGTCAATTTATTACAGTACTTTTTTGATAACTATTCACTTACTTGCATGAAAGCTTTCCTTGACAGGTATTTGATAAGAAATAAAGCTCTAGTTCAACTAGACTGCCTGAATATTTTGTGTTGTCGTGTCCATGACATGTAAATATATGCATGAAATTAAAAATATATATTATTCCAATACCGAAATGTGTAGTTAGTTCTTCAAATGAATGCTAAGAAATAAGCATGATGTTTAAAACTAAGTTTACAACTAATTACTTATTAATATGCATTTATTCTGTTTTTTTGGTTTGCAATTGCAGGAACGTTCTTCTTCCTGCTTCTCTTTCCCCCAACCTCCCAACCCTGTGTCCTGCTGAGCATGGTTTTCTTAACCCTCAAATGAAGAAACAAAAAGACGACTGTTTAAGTCAGACTACTTTACATGAAAGCCTATTCAAGGTCTAGGCTTGATGTTTCATCTTGAGTACTATTGTTTAACTGAAAACACATTTGTACACTTGCAGATCTAATAGTGCTTAGTGAAGTGCACAGATTTAAAGAAGTTTTATTTTAAGTGTAGCTAAAGTACAGATTTACAGACTAAGTCATTTGATTCCCTGTGGTGCTGTTTGTAGTACCATGTAGCTTCACTTGTGTGATTTTGCAAAGTTTTTGTAGAGCTACATTAATCCTTCTTCTCTAGATGCTTCACTGTAATTGCTCTAAGAGTCAAAAAGTGACTTCAAAAATATTTATTGATTACTCCAAGAAGGAAATCAAGAAGCTCTTAGTTTAAACAATGTCTTGTTTCGTGACTATTTTTAGCCTGGCACAATTATTTTGTGTGGAAATTAATTAATCTTGACTATACATGCCTCTGTGCGCACGCTCCTAGATCAGTTCCTGAAATTCGTAATTTAAGAATCTAACTATGAAATTTGTGTATTTTGTAGGGCTCTAGCTGACATGAACAATGATGGGAGGATGGATCAGTTGGAATTTTCAATAGCTATGAAACTTATCAAATTAAAACTACAAGGTTATCAACTCCCATCTGCACTGCCTCCTGTCATGAAGCAGCCACCTATCGCTCTGCCTGGTGCACCAGGATTCGGTAAGCTCTTTGTTTTCCTTCTTGTTAGCCTGTATTGTAGCAACCTAAGTTGAATTTGATTGTTGTTGTGCAATTTCTAAAACAAACTTTAAAGAAAAAGTATTTCTAAACGTATGGGGACTCAAAAGAAAAAATCTCAATGAGGTCTTGTTTGCCTCACATCTTACTGCTCCCTGTATGTTCCAAACAAAAGTTTTTGCGGGGGAAAAAGATGGATCAGGTAGCAGGGCTAGTGCATTCCAAAGTGATGGAATTTTTATTTAAACTATTGTTATTTATCTCTAGTTTTCATTAAGGGATCTCCAGCTTTGGCAAGATTAGCTGTTTTTCTTGACTTTTTACATATCACGGTAGTAATGCACCCCTCTGCTTTTATTTTATGAACAGTGCTGCACTGGGGTTAGCTAGAACAGCTACTGATTCAGTTCTTGTGGTT